AGTTTAATTCCAGAGATAAATACAAAAATAAGATAAATCACAAAATCTAAGCAAATATTTCTGGTCTCGTTTCGAGTGCAAATATTTCAGTTCACTTAAAATAAGAGAAATCTAACTCAGTTTTAGTTTCTTGCTGCCCTTTCAGCAAGAAATATGAGCTTGTTCTGCTTGCTATTGATTTATAAAGGTATTTGCTCTATTTGCAGATTATTTCACTTATGAAAAATGTGACAATGAAACTAGTACTTTTTAAAATATCAATATTAATTATTGACTTAAAACAGGCTCACATTTCCTGCTGAAAAGTTACTTGTAAGTAAGTTTGGCCTCATCTCCAGCCTGCTGGACCAAAAATACTTGGTGAGATTTTGTATTTTTGCAATGCAGTGAACTTTTTCACTCTTCCAAACCAAAATGGCCGAACGGTTAAAATGTGTTACCGTGCAAAAAGTAAAGAAGATATTGAAACAAACACCTGGAATCTACATGTTGGGTTAATTATGTCCATCCAGTGTTTGCATTGAACCAACTCTACCAGTACTTGACAGGAAGTAGGCTTGGGTTCTCATGGGAAAATGGCCGCCTTGATGAAATCCATGGCTTGGGTTGATGAGCCGTGCAGAGTTTTGATTAATGACCGTTATTATGTCATCACATGTTGTTGCTCTAATCGTTACATTTCCCACTGACCGTTTTAATTATTTCTCCGTTCACGGCTTCTGGCCTCCTCTTCGGTTAATTGGACTAAAGCAGGACCTCAAGGGGTCTTGGCACATATTTATTTTTCAGACTCACAACTGAATGGAAAGGACATTACCGTCGATACTTCTATCGACGATTAGCAACCCAGAACTGAAGCTGTACTTTGGATCAGCAGCAAAATTTTGAAAAAGCTTAAACTTTTATATTGGATTCATGTAACATTACACTGATGAAAATGACTAGAATTACTGTAGTTATATTTTGTCACCAGACAATAATGAAACCAAATGGGTTAAATCTGGTTTCAGGAGGAATTACACACATTTTGTTTTGGAAGAAAAATAGCCAATTTCCAGAGTGAAGAACAGAGGCTGATTGTAATTATAAATTCAAGAGGAAAAGTGTTTGGTCCCCTGAGACGATGTCTCTCTCTTGACATTTAACAAGCAATCAACCTGTGGGAAGCTTTTAAAATATCACTGGATATTTATAAAGAACACGGCCTGGAGCGCTCGCCGTCCCATGTGCAGAAACTCGCCTTTGTCTTCCTTAAAAAAAATGAAAAATCACCTCCAGCTTTCTAATAATTGATTTAATATTCCTGTTGCTGAGTCTGTGATAAAAGCAAAATGTCCGTCAGAAGAGCTCTTTACCTTTTTCCTGATGTAGCTGAATGAAATCAAGAACCACAACACAAATTAAATTAAAAGACGTAAAAGTTTATAATCCATCAGAAAATTAATTGAAATAAATAAAACCAAACAATAAAAATGTTTCTTTCATTGCTGCTACAACATCACCAGCACTGCAAAAACTAAATCTTACAACTATTTTTCTCCAGTTTCTACTGCAAATATCTCAACTAAGACAAAACTAACCTGCAAAGTTTGCAGCAGAATGTAGGAGCTTGTTTTAACTTCAGTCTATTTCCTTTCCTTCTTTAATAAAATGTATTTGTTCCACTAGCAGATAATTTAATCTGTAAGATCCAGTGGAAACTTTTCAAACTTAAAGCTCCCATCTGTTGCTGAAAAAGTTAGTTTTGTCTTATTTCCAGTGTATTAATTGATTCACAGTAGAAACTACAGAAAAATAGTTGGTAAAATTTTTAGTTTTTGGTCCAAAGTGCCAACTGAGGGTGGATGATTACGGATTAATTTCCACCAGCAGGCAGCTGTAATGATTTAATTGTTTTTAGCTCCAGCCTGCAGAAGTGCTGACTCTGCAGACAGCAGCGGTTGTTTATAGTTAGCAGCTTCCTCAGGGCGCGTAAACGCATTTGTGTTAAACCCTGCAACGTTTTATTCTCCTTTTGAGGAGCGCGCGCTGCACAGGAGCGTAGCGGCGAGGATTATGCATGAATCAGAAAACGGCCTTTTAGTCATCCTTCCTCAGCTCGCGCGCGTTTACACTCAACAATACAAACAATACTTCACGGGTAAACATCTTGGTTTACAGTGATTTCCAGAGCACTTTACCCTCCATCCAAACACAGAGGAGGAGGGGTGGAATAATTTTTCCGCTGATATTTTTAGCTTTTTCTGTGCGTTCATTTCTATTGTTAACAAGGTTGTGGGTGGAGCTTCATGCCACAAAGAGAAGCAGGTCAGACAGCCTGATCAATACACTCCCAGTAAATACGCTGAATATGTATGGGATTGTTCTCTGATGGTGCATTTATTCCCCACATATCTTCTTGTTAAATATCCTGTTTGATTCTGCGCCTGGCAGCTCTTCCATATCCTTTGTAAATTACTCAATTTGGAAGTGAGATATGAGCGGCAGCGCGCGGCCGCACCATTTTTCACATGCTGTACTGTACCTCAAAAATCTCGTTTTGACTGAAATCTTCTCATTCATTCACGGCTTATGTTCCTGAGAACGACTGGCAGGATGGAAATCATCAATTTGCTTCCTTTCCCTGCATATCAAGTACGAGTCAGGTCACCAAAAAAAGGAGCGAATGAGCTGGAGCCAATTCTGACGTCGTGATGCACTTTTTAGATCGAGTTTTATTTCTACACCGATGATGTCAAACTATATAAATGAACAAGATTTTCTACACAAACAGGAAGCTTCACTGCAAAAACTGCAAATATAAAAATGAGACAGAATTAACTTACAAGGAACTTTTTTGCAAGAAACAGAAGCTTGTTTTAAGTCAGTAGTTGCTTGAGATTTATGAAAAAATATTTATTTTGCATAAAAAATGGTAAAAAAGTCTTGTTATAATTGTACTACTATGTAAACAGACTTTATGTTTTTGCATTTTGCAGTGTGTGAACGTTAATAAAACCGTGTTTTCAGTCAATATTGATTAAAAAGGTTCCAGTTCCACTTAATACAGAGACAAAAACAGTGAAATAATTTGCCATTGAATTATGATTTTAACATCCCTGACTGTAGACAAGGATCTCCCACGTTAATTGTCAAAAGTAAATTGAACATTTAAGAAAACATTTCCAAGTTATGAGGCACCGTGTCACAGAGATATTTAAATTATGCAACTATTTATGTTTTCAATCAATGCCACTTGTAGTTTTTTGATGGAACTAACTGTGAGATAGTTTTGGTGAAAAAGTTACAGACTTTTATACACTTAGTTGCTTTTGTTTCCAGAACTTCTTCCTCTTTTTAATTTTGGATTTCTTTGCACCACTTTTGCTCTTTCTGCTTTCCATCTAGTGCTTCAAGTTGTTACGTCACGCATGTCTCTGAAAACAAAACAACTAAAAACAACTCAAAGCTAGGGTTAGGGTTATTTTCTTTCGTCTTATGATCTTGTGATGATGCAGAATAAACTCTAAAACTGATCCATAAACTTCCTGTAAACAGACTGATGCTGTGTGACGTTTATGTTCTTCTGCAGCTTCAAGTCTAATTGCGCTTGCATTTAATTAGCATGACTGACTTAAAAAATGTCTGATTTTAGCATAAACAATTGGAGTTAATCATCAATTTAAAAAATTAATAAATAAAAAATGCACTTACAGTCCTCCCAAAAATAAATCTACTTTTTTTCCAAATTAAAGTTACACTTAAATGTATTTGATTTGCAATAAACTGAGTTGTTTTTTGTTGTTTTCGTTGCATCTTAGCGAAAAGTTAAACATTTATTCTGTCATTATTATATTACAGCCTTGGATTGAAGCCTTGAGTCCTGCTCCTCCTGTAGCTTCTCCCTCTACGCTCAGTGATGTGGGTGTTTTATGCATACATTAATTCAATCATTTCAACACAAGAAGATGCCTTTCTGAGATCCTTAGCTTCTCCAGAGACATCAGGCTAATGCCGAGGCTGAAGTTCACTTCTTTTCACTTTTTCAATAACCCTTAAATGAAAGGATCACAGAGGTCGAGCTGAAAAGAAAGGAAAAACCGTGTTAATGCAAATCAAATTTCAGCCTAAAGGAATTAGAGGAATTAAATATGAAACATAGAAAATTCATCCTTCAGAAAGTAACTTCTGCCTCTCTTCAGAGAAATGGATCAGAAAAGTTCTTCATGTCTGTAGATGAACAGACTACAAAATAAAAAGGTTTAAATCAGAAATCATCAAGTTTTTGATTTGATTTGAAACTCTGAATTTTCCTTGTTTGTTTTTCTTTTCTAGAAAATTTCTGAGATTAATCTGAAAATCTCAGAAGTTTTGGTTGAAATTTTTTTTAACCTCCAGTGGTCTTTCTACATCTTCTGATTTTTCTTTTTCTATGAACATTGGTAAAATATTATAAGTCTGTATTTCTTTAGTAGTTAATTTAACTATTCTTATTTATGTTTGAGTAAATGACGTAAAAATCTAAATGAAATGAAAGTTTTGTTCTATTTTAAGTGTTTTGAGATGTTTGAAATATAAAGTGGAGCAGAAACTCTTGGTCGGTTGTTGTGTTTTTGCATATTTAAATCAAAATGAACTGTGGGGCCTGGCTATTAGTCTCCAACAAACACAACAAGGTCACTGGAGTTTCTTTCATTTGTTATTCTAAACAGGCTGTCATGTGGCTGTTTCCAGCCATGATGATGAATAATGAGTTTTTGGTTTTTGGTCACAGCTGGAGAGAAGCGAATAAAGAGGCTAATTAGAGAGAACAAAACAGTTAAAGTTTAGATTTTTGGGGGTTGAAGGTATTCCCTGGATAAATCCTGCTGAATGTCGCAGCTTCGTTTCCCCACTTAGCCGTGTTCAAACGTCTTCCTGCTGCAGGTGAAGCCCAGATTTTCTGCTTCAGGATTCAGCCGGACTTGGAGCTTTGCAGGAAGCATTCGATCTCAATCCCGTCTCCTGTCTCTGCTTGATAGGCCCGGTCGGAGCGGAGCGGCGCAGCGCTGTCGGCGGCGGCGGCGGCTTACCTGGGCGCTGCGCTCTGGATCGCCGCCTAATCATCTGGCCTCAAGTCAGGCAGGACAGCTGGGCCCTCAAAGGACCCACCGCATCTGCACCGCTGCAGAAGGACGAAGAGGAGGATGAAGGAGCAGAAACTAATCGCCCTCCTCGTCTGATGGGATGTGCATAACGATCCGGCGTCCTGCGCTGGCGAGGTGAGTGGAGAGCTGAGCGCCACTGGGACGCTCACTTAGAAACAAGGTGCAGTTAACGACCTGAGGGACGGAGCGGACTCGGCCCGGGAGAAAGTTTGACTCCTGGATTAGGAGTTTAAACAACAGCAACATTAAAACTATTCATCACGTCCTAAATGGGAGAAGCTTAAACCTCATCTGGATCTTAGAAGGCATGAATATATATCCTGTGATTATTGAGATAAATGATAATATTGTTGTTTTGAGACCATTTTGCTAGTAATACATTGATAATGGCATAATAATGCAAGTTCGCTCTCTCAAAAAACCAATAGTTTAACTTTGTGAAGACACTTAAAGGTATAATATTAGAAATATGTTTTTTTACATATTTAACTGTCACCACATGAAAACAGTATGAGACATAATCTGTGAGCTGCTATTGCCATGTGAAGAACCAAAACCAGCCAATCAGAGCCAGGAGGCGGGGCTTACTGCTGCCAATCAATGCCCCTTGGATTGTAAGATAACAGTCTGGAAGTTTTTGAAACGTCACGATTTCCAGAAACCAGAAAACATAAAGTTATTGTCAAAAAACAGCTGCATGTTTTTCTTTAAACATTGTTTTATAAATATTAGTAAAAATTTAGCAAAATGTTTACTTTGAATATTAATTTTCCTTTAAGTTCTCTGAGTTTTGGGAAAATATCCTAAAAGTTTTGTGAAGATACTCTGTAAGCTTTTGATACAAAGTAGTTTGCAGCCTGAATGATTCAGGAATATAACTTATAATATCCCTTAATGAATATTGCTTCCAAGTTTCTTTTCTTTCTTTTACGGCATATTTTGGTTTTCTGTAGTAAGTGTAATGTTTTTTTGCAATTTCTTGTATCTCTGCAGCATCAGACGCAGGTTTAGCTTGGAAAGGCTTCGCAGTGCAGCAGCTTTATCTCCCTGCAGTCGGATGCAGCTGCTGCTTCTCTGCTGCTCAGTGGGAGTTTCTCCAGGAAGCGGCTCGGCAGGGGGTCGGGTCGGGCCGAGCGATTAGCTCCGGCACATCCACGGATCCTCCGTGTTCTCAGGATCATTTGCCTTCCCAGATAGTTGACGCCGATGTGCGCCTGGCGACGCCTCCTCTGATGGTCACGTGATTTCAGAGCCGCTAACGCTCCGATCAGTCACCAGAAATCCAGCAATCACACTAAAGAACATGCAGAGAGAACGTCTGTTCCCCCTTCACTTTCAAATAATAGCTGTGATTTGCATATATTAGCTTTTTTTTAATTTTCTAAGCCTGCTCACACATCTGCTCAGAATTAGTCATTATCGTTTCTCGGTAATTTGGCAGGAGGGCGCCACAACGTCCTCCAAGTGCTCTCCTCAGAAACCCAACAGAACTTTATATCTGGGAAAATCTGTGCTTATTTTAGCTCCACGCTGCAAAATCACTCAACTTACCAAGTATTTTTGTTTCGTTTTTGGAAAAATAACTTTTCAGTAAAGTATAGGAACTTATTTTAAGTCAATAATCCCTTAATATTGATTTTGAAAAGTACTAATTCCACTGCCAGATTATTTCACTTATATATATATTTTTCTTTTTAATAAGTGAAATAATCTGCCAGTGGAATAAATCATTTTTTAAAATCAATATTAAGGAATTATTGCTTTAAAATAAGCTTAAAAACTCGACCAAACATGGGGAATGTTTTGCGGTGCAGGTGCTTCGTCTCTGTGATTATTTTAGTTTCTTCTCGCTGCGGGAGCGGCGGCGATGTTCTGCAGGAGTAGAAACGTTGCTGTCTGATCGGTAGTGATGATGGCGATGACGACAGCAGATGATTCTCACAGATGGTGGAGAAACTTAAAGGTTGGGCTGCTGGTCGTGGTGTTTGTTCTGCTCTCCTCCTGGACCAATCGCGCGGCTCCGGAGCCCCTCTGAGTTGATTAACCGCGCCGGCTCGCCGGCAGCTTCCCTGATTGTGATTACCTTCTGTGTTTTCTAATTTGGACCTGGCTTGAAGTGTTTCTAAGTCTGAGCGCTTGACATTCCCTCGAACGCGCCACAAAATCCGTCATTAGCCGCTGCGTGTGCGCGGCTCCTGCTCCTATTGTCTTTGTCTCATTTAATGCTTGTCTCGTGTGAAATGAACTATCAGGCCACCAAGAGCAGTTATGATAAAAAATGATGGTGGGAATCCTGAAATATGGAGCTTTATGGGAGCCACAGCCTACTTCTACAAGGTTAATGAACTCTCACTAACTTTAATAGTCTGTTTTCCGACTCATGCATCTTCATAAAAGCGCCCTTCCCCAAAGTCTGCAGGCGAGAGGTGCCATTTCAAACAGCTGTGCCAGGCGAGCCAAATGAAAGGAACCTCATGATGAATCGCATCCTCCTTCCTTCCATTTCTGCGCCGTTCACCTCACCTGGCAAACTGTCGGAGGATTACCTTCATTCCCCCTTGATGCCGAGATGTAAGCGAACGAAGCGGATGGGAGGGGGAGCGGCGTTGAGTTCCTAATCACCTGGACCGAACGAGGGCGCGCAGGGGGAGGCGGAGTCCCAGGGGCGGCATTAGGAGCAGCCGGGGTTGGAGCTGCAGGCTCGCTCGCAGGTTCACATTTTATCTGCTGTCTTTGTGTGTGGAGGCAGGTGAAGACTGTGGACCCTGATCCAAACATGTGAAGTTTGTGGTTATTTTTATTCCCTCGTTTGTGTTTAAAAGCTTAATTTGATCTGAAAATGAGCCGTATATCATATCCTACATGTCACATAACCAAACAGTCCTGAAGTAAAAGTACAAACAACCAAACAAAAATGTACTTTAGCAAAAGTACTTTATTTTAAAAACCCTTGAAGTACTTGTTGAATGTGTTCCAGTATCAGCTAGTTTTACTTTAACTTGAATAAAAATATGTTCTTAACCAACCTCTACGTGTAAAAACTCCTCCAAAATCATTGAAAACGTTCAATATTTGACACTTTGCCAGATATTCTTTAGGAAAAATGACATTATTTTGTTTTTTGCAGCTCTGCAGTTTGTTCATTAGTTCTTCGTTATGTTGGAAGAAACACACCCCAGACACAAACGTGCAAAATAAAATATGAAACATTTTATTTTGCACGTCCCCCGGGAGGCGAGGCAGAGATTAATCATTTTATTTTGGGCGGCGATGTAGAGTTTTATTTATATAGATATATATAGGTAGAATGTGTTTGGCGCTGGCAGCTTGTTCGTATTTTGCCAGCCGCTTTTCTTGCCTGTAGCTCAATGAAGCCGTGACATCAGGTGACATTTAAAACATTTGTGACAGCAATAACATTTCAAATATTGCGGTAAAAGCATCTTTGCTGTCAGGAGAGATGAAAGCAGGAGGTGAAGGAGATATGATCGGTTTATATTTTTGGAGCTGATAAACAAAGTCTCAGGAGTCTGTAGGTGGGTTTTGGTTTGGTTGGATGTTTCCCTTTGTTCCGGATCTGGAGGGGAATGAGGTTATTTAAAGTGTCGCTGTGTGTTTGAACACCTACACACAGGTAGGCCACCAATCTCAGCAGCAATTAGCCGTGCCAAAAACGACAGACTTAATTGTAGGCTAATGTTTGCATCGGGAAGGGGGTTAAATGCTCGTGTTGTTTTTGAGCTTTGTGCATAAAAACAGGTCAGTCTGTCAGGGAGGAGAGACGCCGCATGGTTCAAAGCGTGGGAAGAAAGTTACGGCTTATAGTCTGAAAAATATGATAATAATCCAGTCATTCATCTATTTAACCTGACATCCTCCAAACGTCCAGTCATCCGGCCAACTAGCAAAGTTTCCTCCTCTGTTATCAGCTCCTGCAAACTAAAACCTGAACTGGAATATTATCCATTCATTTCCGGTTCATTAAAACTGTGGGTTTCATTTATGGAGCGTTCAGTTTGTGGTGAAAATAAACATCAGAGGTCCTGGTTTCTGTTCTCCAGCTCTCTTTGGGTTCCAGTTGAACCTGACAGTGAGACGTTTCGTTCTGAAGAACTGCGGTTAATCGCTCAGCGTTGGTCTCTCCAGCTCACCTGCCCTCCTTCCAACCTCCGTCCGCTAATAACCGCTGTGGGTTTGGAGACGTGAAGGTCAGCCTCCTGCCCAACACGGCGCAGCGAGTTTCACTCTCAGACTCTATTTCTTCACCGTCTCTCCGGTTACCACCTTCCTTAACTCCCATTATGGACTCCGTCTCTTTATTTTCGCTCACCGCCTCTCAATCTCCGCCTCTCCGCCTCTCTTTACAAGCCCAGGCTTAACATGTCATTGGGAAACCTTGAGGATAAATGAGGTCTTCAGCGAGAGGCAACCATCGACTCGGCATTACAATAGAGTTAGAAACGATATAACTCACTGAATCTGCTGCAGGATGACAGCGCTGTTTGCTTTGGAAAGCCCATAAAGCCTGATGCAATAATCCTTGCAGGAGGAAAGGCAGAAGTTGTCATAAAATCAAACATATGCTCTGCAAGGGTGCTGAAATTGAATAATCTGTGACAGCGCTGTCCCAAAAAACAAATATGAATCTCCTCTTTCTTGCTTCATAGCCTCCATTTAAATGCACTCAGTGGAAAGTAAGGAAAGAAAACAGCATTTAGGTTGGGGTGAAATATGCTCCTCGTTAGAGTTGTCAGTGGGGAAAGCAGAGACGTTGAAGCTTTAATCGCCTCCCTTTCATACGCGCAGTAATGGGACTTACAACATCTGCGTCTCTGAGGGTAAGACGGAGGGAGGAAGGGAAGCGGACTGCGTCTTGTGGTCGAGTATCGCAGAGACCCTCTGGAAACATTCAAGTCGCCACAAAGTGAAAAGTGGATTATTTTAATTCAAGTGGGTTTTAAGGGGGTTGAAGTGGGAGAGAGGAGGCTGCTCCCCCTCTGAAGGTTTAAAAATAAATGTCAGCCCTTCTGCCGCCACCCCTGGGTTTTATCTCTGGAGA